AAACTGTAAAAAGCGAAGTAAAGAAATTTTTAATACATACAATTAGTCTTTGTGGCGTACACACATAAACTTATAACTTGAAATCACTATTTATTTACGAAAAATTGTTTATTTTACGGAGCAGAACACAGACGATGTTAACTCGTTCAAGCACTCGCTCGGAATGACGTCAAAATTTTAAACTTTAACTTTTCAACCCTAAAGGGGGCGGTAATGGACTGAAAATGTGGATTTAGAAATTTTGATTTTAGCGCCACCTAGCGGGACAAAAATTGTTAAATATTGTAAATATCTTATCGTTGAGTCCCGCAATGTATTTCAGTTATTTAAGTTCATGTTTTATTCAATTGTGTGTTGTTATGTTGTGCATTAAATTACTAATATTTTTTGCCAAATTTCTTTTATCTTCATCCAATTATATTTTTAATGTTGAACTCTAGGGGATTACACCCTTCATTTACTTAACTGCGCTTCGAGCTTATTGTCATAACTAATACCACTTTTGAGTATTGTAAGTAATATTTATAAGGTGTTATTTGTGTGAAAATTTACAATAAAATGATAATAGCGATTATGTAAGAATAAGTAGAAAATTGTTGCGAGTTTATGAATTCGATAAATATTAGAAAATGATGTGTGAAAATAAAACATGTGTCTACGGTCGATTACCATGAATTCTAATGATATCTATAAATTAAAATAAAAGGAATTGAACAACCTGTGAAAAAAGTATAATTCGTTAAAAATTATTTAGGTTTTAACTATTTGCTTTTTACTCACCCGCATAATAAATTATTTAGGACATTTTTAAAGATGTGGAACATACCTGAAAATAAAATAATCTATAAATAAATGAATATTTTAACTATAAAAATAGTATGTTCTTAAATAAGATTAGTAAAAATGACCTAGAAATTAATAGGTCAATTTTAATATAACTAAAGTTATACCGTTGTTAATAATATGATTATTATAGCTACTAACTCTCCTGACGATCTAATGTTGAGAATGAAAAACACGTAATCGTAATGTAAATGAATCGCTATAAACAAAAAACGACAAGACATCATTTAAAAATAAAACTTAAGTATTTCTATATTTAGATCACATCCGTTAGTAATTTATATATAAAAAAATAGCTAAATATATTTGTGCGTGACTAATTTAATTTACTTAAAAAAAAAATACCAACAATTGATATTAAAATATTTAGATTTTAATTCATGGAGTTTCCTAAAACTCCCATTTATATACATATTTAATATAATGTATATTTATTTATTTATTTATTTATATATTTATTAGTTGAAGATAAATCGACCTAATTCAATATAAATAAATCAGTAGCACCGACGAATTGGCAAAATGTATTAAACGATACAAACTATAAATAAAGAAACTAAAACATTTAAGTAGTAAAACTGCCATGAGAGGATAAAACTGCAATATTATTTACTTATTCAAATTGCATTGCATAATTTATTTGGCATCTGGCATAATTCTCGGTGCATACGGGGAACTAAAAATAAATGAACTTCAGAATATTCATGCACAAAACTGTTTATGTATTTACATGGAAAAATATATGTTTTAAACGAGTTTTAATGAAATGTAACATTTAACATGTTTAAAATGCATAGAACAAAATTACAAATTATTATTATTATTATTATTACCTGTACCTTTAGTTAAATGTATATTCGTATACAGGGTGTTTTCATTGTAAAACCGAAATAAGTAAACAGAGGTCGTCGTAGTGGTTCTAAATATAATAATAGAATATTGGATCTTGCAGGCTATATAACTGAGATGAAGGGTGTTTTATCGATTTGATTCGTTTGCTTATGAAGCTATAACTAACTGTTCTAATTCTTTGAATCGCTCTCGAATGATAAATAATAAATATTTCATTGTAAATTTTTGTCTACAGCTGGCGGCAGTAACTTAGAGGTATCATTTGGGAAGGCGCGACCGCGATATGAAAGAGCAGCAACCGACAGCGTAAAGCGACCGAAAACGGTCTCTTTACGCCTGAAAACATGTTATTAAATAAAACACATTTGGGAGAGCGCGATCGATGAAAGAGACGCGACACCACTTTTAACACGATAGTATTTGCTGCCTTGCTGCTGTCGTCTGCCTCGGTCTCGCATTTTCAAATGGTACCTTAAAGGTTCTGAATTCAAGATCGAAGTGTATTTTTATTTATTTATTTTTTAGTTAAGTCAGTCAAATAGGACAAACGATTTTATATATTTAGATTGGTACCCACTGAAAACACATGCATAAGATCTTGTACTCGATACTTAAGTTTTTTAAATGTAGGTATTTAAGTACACACATATTAAACCCAATACTTAGAAGTTCTATTTAAAATAAATTCTTCAGTACTTATATATTTAAGATACTGCTAATTGTACTTTGTTCTCTTTAAGTACTTTTTAACTTTCAACAGCTCTGATTATCAAAAAATAAATTACGGCTAATACAGGCATCGCAACCTAATTTGTCTGAAGAGGGGATGCGCGTTAATCTCGAATTTCAATTGTCAACGCCTACTGTAACTGTTAAAGAGAGATACAAACAATAGCCGTGTTGTCGGGGGTGATCAGTAGATGATAATATTTTCTTGAATTTGTGTTTGTGTAGCGTGCAGATTTTGAGTTATGTGTTTTGTGTTAAAATGCCGAAACATTTAGGAAATAATATTTCATCTATTGGAATATTTTATGAAAAAAAAATGTTCCTCGGCAACAAAAAGGTTTGAAAAAAAAACAACGATGATAGTGAAACTTATAGACAATGTGTTGTGAACGATGATCCCAAAACTCTCACTGAACTTAAAGAACAAGTTGCTGAAACTACAGGATACTCGGTAAAAACAATTAAACGAATAATTATGGGTGAGATATCAAAAGGTGAAAAGTATACGTCGACCATACCTAAACAATTGTTTAAAAGTCCAAAAAAGCGCAAAAGAACATCAAGTGTAACAGATATTCCATCCTACAATATTGGAACAATCAGAGATATAGTTCATAGATTTCACAAAGCAGAAGGTATGCGTGTAACAATCAAAACTCTTAGTGAAAAATTAAAAAAGGAAATTGAGTGGAAAGGGAGCTACACATCCTTAAGAACTATTTTTAAAAAAGTTGGGTTCAAGTGGCGAAATACGCGAAACAACAGACAGGTTCTAATAGAACGGCTTGACATCAGGGAAAAAAGAATAGATTATGTGACGAAAGACTAATTTATTTTTAGTTTATTTATTTAAAAACACACTATTTACAATTTATTTCAGACGTACTATTTAATTTATATAATACTAACTAACGATTCTAATTTATTTCTTACACTTTAACTTTTCAATACAATGTTCTATATCAAACTGTCTATAATCAACTGACTTCCGTCTTCATACACGCGAATAATCCCGATGGTCGAGAAAATTCCAATTCTGACTCAACGGCACACTCCGTCCGTTCTACCCGTTTCTCGAGCCTCAGCGACATTCCCAGAATATTCAATCGCCTCTAGCATGAATCGGTTGCCCAGACGTGAAGGCCGTGTGCTTAGACAGAGTCGGACTTAATAATTTCATGACATTTATATTAAAAAAATTAGATATTTTCGTTCTTAAAACCATCCCATTGTATATATTGATGAAACTTATATACATAGTAGCCATACATCATCACATAATTGGGGTGATGATAATGCAAAAGGTTCGTTTTCCACCATTTCGAAAGGAAAAAGACTTATTATAGTTTATGCTGGTGGTAACAAGGGCTTTATTCCTAACAGTTTATTAATGTTTGTGTTTGGGGCCAAATCTGGTTATTATCATAATGATATGATTCAAGAAAATTATGAAAAGTGGCTAAGAGAGAACTGTTAATACCAAATTTACCACCAAATGCTATTATAGTTGTGGATAATGCACCGTATCACAATGTTATAGAAAATCCTGCTCCGAATTCAAATTCAAGAAAAGCTGAAATGATAAACTGGTTGGCGTCCAACAATATTGAATTTCAACCTTCCTTATTACGACCACAGCTGTACACATTAATCAAACAGCATAAAAATAGATTCAAGCAATACAAATTTGATAGATTATTCTCCGAACACGGTCATACAGTTTTGAGATTACCACCATACCACCCAGACTTAAATCCAATAGGAATGATCTGGGCTGTAGTAAAAATTGTAGCTATAAAGAATATTCATTTTAAATTAGCACATGTACAAATGTTAGCTGAAATTGAATTTAAATCAGTATTCCAAGAAGACTGGAAAAAAAGATGTGCACATGTAATAGCTGTCGAAGATAAATATTTAGATCGCGAAATTATAATGGATGACGTTGTAATTCCTACGGTTATTATTAATGTTAATGAAGACAGCAGTGATAGTTCTAGTGATAGTGATGATTTTGATGACGATTATTTAGAACTCTGTTAATTTGTTTAAGTTTATTTTGTTTGATAGTAGTTATAGCAACAAGGAATAGAGGATAGTATAAATTCAGTATTTGTTGACCTATAACATATTTTTAAAAATCCTCGTTGTCTTATTTATCGAAAATGTTTTGTGGGTTTTTATTTTTAATTTATTTTGAAGTAGGTATACAATAGGTATAAAAACTTAAGTATAGATTTCAACATTTTTTTAACAAACAAATCTATTTTTAGTCTTCAGTCAATACCAGAAAAAAAACAAATGAAATCAAAGAAGTCCACAGTTTACAAATCTTGAATAAGATACAAGTCATCCGATCCTAAAACAGTTAAAGTCTTATTTTATTTATTTGGAATTGCTGTAACAATACAACTCGTTGTAGTTGTGTGGTGGACAAGTCCATAGTTTCTTGACTTTAGTAATTTGCTACCATCTTTGTGCTTTTCCTTATTTTCTGTTTCATGCGATCAGCACCTTCATGTATCGATTTACTTGTAGAGATATTCGTATCCATTTCTAGATTTTGCTCAGTAACACTATCGTCCACAATACTGTTTCCTGCAGTAGATAGGCCAGTGCCAACCGACATATTTCCTGGGATTTTGTGATATACTGGATTGTCTTTTGTCTGTTAGTTGTAGGAACTCATTTTCCCATTTTTTCAATTTAATGGGCTTATTTCCGGAAGCTTTTACATCTGTCTTCTTTTTTATGGTAGTGTTTATGTTCTGCACTACTTTCTTTAGTTGTATTACAGTGAACAGTTTCCCAATTAAAGAAGAATATTCAGCAATGGGAGTAGACCATGCTTCTGTCTTAGATTTCATCACGGACGGTGTTTTTGATTTATCCAGTAATAACAATCTTACAAACATTGAGCGATTAATCTTTTTGTCGTCTTTCTCGTCGTTACTATCACGGTCGTCCTCTGAGGATGCCATCGTAGTAAAAGTGATAATAGTGATATGACAGTACTGATATATGTAGATACAACTGTAACACTGAGCAACAAAACACATACTTCACTGACTTGTCGTGACAGGAGCAGAGTCACATAAAATGGAAGTATGTGAGCCGAGTGCATGAAATCATAGAGCACAGGGGTTAGTGGAAGGGAGTCTGTCGTGAACCTAGTAAGTGCTTATACGTTAGCATAATATGCTACCCGTAGCTTTTGCTTACACTTTTCCGGATAGCACTAGCTTTGGTGTAGTGTTTTCCCGGATTTTAAGACTTTTTTTATTCACTTCGATAATAAGCAAACCCTTAACTGCCTAGCATATGCTAAGTTAGCAAATACTTGCTTTTATTCACACCACCCAATGAATAAGTTTTAGAAGCGAAATTGTAATTTGAGGATACGTGAAGAAATAGTAAAATAAACAAATCCGATGTCTAGTCACCAAGAATTTTATTAAAAGTGTATATGTAAAACAGGACAACTATAAGGTAAATATTAGCATTATTAAAAAAAAATTCACATAGGTATTCAAATGATTTATCATATACAGGGTTTTAGAAAGTAACAAAGCGTTTACATCTAAATCAGATGTCATATAATCTCGGTTTAAAGGTTGAAATAAAACTGTTACAATTAATCTTTTAATCCCTTCTAGAAATTTAATGGCACAACTCGGGGGTAGTAAATTTTCTACCTGGTATAACTCGGATATCCCGAAATTTGCAGGTATGTACATCGATAATGGTAAAATATACTTACTTTGCTCATTTAAGATGGGATGACCCTACGACTATCGAAAAATTATGTTTTTTTTGTCAGACTCTAGGTACGCCCCACTATATTTATTAAGACACGTACCAAAAATTAAATATTTATTTTCTAAACATAATTTTCCAGTGTCTGACGGTTATTAATAATTTTTGTTGTTATTAAATCGACAACTTTGACGCGTCAGACTGGGAAATCGGAATATACTTTTTCTCAGACAATATAAAAAGTTTTTTTTTATTTTTTAATAAACGGATATAGCGAAAATCAGGTGGTTATTAATAAATTTTCGTACAATCGTTTTTGCGATATGTTTAAGATGGCGGACACAACCAACGAACCACATTCATTATCAGACAATTTTATTATCACGTTTCAGTTCATGTTTTTAAGTTATTCTATTAAAAAAAAAAAAGTATCTATAAATTTTTTACCTGTCGCAAAAACGACATGTTTCGGGGAATGCCCCCAAAAACAAAAAAGTCCTAGAGTAATTTGGTGTCAGCTAGGTCCAATGAAGCTATACACGAAGTTTTGTGAGAGTATGTATCACAAAAATTTTTCCCGACGGGCACCCTATTACCTAAATTTTATTGGAGCAAAATTCAAAATAGCCAAAAGAAAATTATAAGTTTTTAATTTGGGTTTTGCGATGAAAAGATTGATCCGAAGCACGGCTGAGGACTCGTTTACTGGTGCCCTAAAAAGATCTAAGCAAATGTATTATTCATGTTTAGGCTTAAAATAGACAAACCTCCTTTTCTTTAACCTTTCCGTCTACCTTACTTATATGTATGTAGCAGAAACGTTCAAGTGATTTTATTCAACATAAATCTGAACGAGGCATCATCTGTTTGTGACTTCAGCACAATATTTTCTGGGTGTTTTCTTTAGCTGAAAATTCGTCTTAGTTCAACAGAAACATCATCAATCAAAATCTCGTGACATATTCAAAGTTGTCGGCTATGAGCGGACGCATCCATCCAAAAGCTCTATACTTTTAACCATTGGCGCGCAAAAAGAGTAAAACGTCCTCGTTCTAAACTTTCTTATGGTAATGGATTACAAGTTCATTCATACACTGAATTACCTACAGTAAAAAATGGCGAGTCCGAAATAAATTATGTCTAGAAGGAATGGAAACGTTTGCCATTAAATTAATTAAAATAATGTACAGGGTTTCACTGAAAATAATGCATTTCTTTCAAGTTAAAATACAAATTGGCACACTGAGAGAAAAAAGTATTTTATATTTAAAATATCGTAAATTAGGAAGAAATTCTTTAAATATTAACTAAGGAAATTTAATAATACCATAATAATTATAATTAATAAATGTCTCATAAATACGAGGTTTTCTTTAACAAAACATTTGTTACAGTAAGGCATAGTAGATATTAACAAATTTTTTAATCGGCAATATACGTATATTTAAGAATAACTATTATGCTAATATAAAGATTACAAATTGCTTAATATTAAAATATAAGGTATTAAATATAACAATTGTGCTTTCGCGCTCTACGAAATAAATAAATTTTAATATACAGCTATAATAAGTTTTCTATTAGCAAATATAGTTTTATAACATAACGTTGCCATTCTCGTTTTGTTATTGCGCTATCATAGGAAATGTAAACAATTCAAATTACCTATTAGGTACCATTTTGCTATATTTCTATTTATCGTTATTATAAAACTAGTGTGAATTAATTTAAAAGTTGTTTGCTGTATTACTAGTTAATATATTGTTAGAGTCAGCAAATTAGGATATCGCCGCCACTGAGGTCGACGGTACCACGTCTGCCCGTTGCAGTGTCCAGGACTAGTGATGGGAGTACTCGAGTACAGGAATCGGATAATACCCGATTCCTAAAGGAATCGGTAGTATTCGAATACTGACGACCCGCGTCGGAATCGGAATCGATTCCGATTTTTAAATATTAGACGATACTGCTGCGAATCGCGATCCGTCTTGTATCGCTGCTCACCGCTGACGTGCTGACTGAAATTCAATTAAAATATGGGGTCGGGTCGGGTTCGAGGTTCGAGACGCTGGAATCGCTGATAATTGGATCGGTGTCGGAGATCGTCGTTATACTCGGTTGATGCAAGTACTCAGTACTCAGTATTCAATAAAATAACCGATTCCGTGAAGTACTCGAACCCTCAGTACTCGATTCTCGAAAGTATCCGATTCTTCCCATCACTATCCAGGACCAGGAGAGAGCTTGGACTTGACTTTCGACCAGCCGAACGCGATATGCCGTTAAAGACATTCTTTATTTTGTTCCGTAATTAATTACATTTCAAACATTGTTTACGAGATATTTAATAAAACATTATAAAACCATGTTAACACGTGTTTTGTGAAGTGGCTATACAGGGTGTTATAGTATGCAGAGTGATAAATCATTTTAAAACAATACTTTTGAAGTTAATTCTTTTAACTTCTAACAATATTATAAATTTGAATTTTTTTTAAGTGCAAAGTGCAGTCACAGGAGGTAGGTAATTTGAGTTTCACTCATTGGCAACATGGTACACGTGGTTTCGAATTACCATTTTGTGAAGCACGTTTTCGTTCTGGTTGCAGTTTGCAGTGTAGAATTGTTATTTTTTGGGGCGACGCCGTTATTACACTCTAAAAAATGCATTGGTCGCTGAAACTAATTTTTTCTTGTTACTCCCGTTTTAGTATAAGTTACAACTTTTCTTGCTTACCCAAACTAATTCCTTTTTTCAATTAATTAATATGAACAAATGTTGTTAGTTATCCGAACTAAATATTATTGTTGACTGTATTTTAGTAACAATACATTTAGTTGTTGCAGCGACCACTCTTATTTTAACTTAGTTGCTGAAACTAAGTTTATAATATTTGGTAACCAACCCATCGTAAAATCGATTACTTTTTAAATTTGGCGCCACCCAATAGCAACATCGCGTCGCATACAATCACCGATATAGTAGTGGCAACACTGTGAACTGGCTTCTTCCTTAACCGCCAACACATTCAAAATTCAAACGCATTAGTGTTTTTGTGAACAGTGTTGCCAGACCTACTGTTTTAACAGTAGATCTACTGATTTAGTCTCTATTCTACTGTTTTAGGCTTAAAATCTACTGTATTCCTCAACTTGGCAAATTTTGTTCTTGATATAGTAGATTTGCCTCATTCTTCAGTAAATGTACAAAGGATAGTTTCTCGAGTAAATTTGCAGAAGTCAAAGCAGCGTAATAAGTTGAATTCAGCCTCAATATTGTAGGTTTGGTCCACAGAAATATATTTAACTTCAAGATAATCATCATGTTTTAATTTAAAATCAGCAAAAAATTTAATTGGTCGTCATAATAAGAACATGCATTACAAACACAACGTATTTAACAGAAATACCTATTTTTCCTATAGTTCCTTTTTTTCCGAACTTAAGTTTTACAAATTTTGTTGTTTTTATTATTTAATTTCTAATTTGGGTATAAAAGCAAAAAATGTTTATTTTTCGTTTCTTATTTAATTTTTTTTATTTATTATACTGCAAATTATAATTATTTCCCCCTGTTTTATTCTATTGTTCAGTTTTGATGATCTACTGTTTTTTCACACCCATCTACTGTTTCAGAAAATTTTCATCTGGCAACACTGTGAACGCATTAACCTTACTTCGCTTTCGTCGGCACGTGCTCGGCACTCTACGGTTAGTTTTCCGGTTTTATTCATTTATTCTGAAACGAAACAGTTTGTTAAAGCAAGCGTTGTACATAGAGTTGAAATATGATGTATGTCGTTTTTTTTACATTTTTGGTGTTAAATTATAGACAATACAATTTTTACTACCATTCCTTTAATATGACAAAATGTTTCCAATTTATTTAATAACCCCCTGTTAAAAAGTTGGACAGTAACAGTGATGTGGAAATAATAATTTAATTTGTACTTGTTTTTAAACTGATGCATCACAATACAAAACACATGGTGCGTTGTTGTTTTGTTAAACTTAGACAATATTAATGTCTAATCCTTTGAATAATACAGATAAATTAAAATAATTTTAATTGTTTTGCCCTACTCCAACCAGATATCAAATAATTTATTTTGGCAGTGTTGTCATACCTGTAGGGTATGTTTCGGGTAAAACCAAAAGTTTCTGGCTTTCGAAATTATGCATTAATTATGTCAAGTTAAAGTCCCAATTAATACTTATAATTAAT